GTTAGGGTTAGGGTTAGGGTTATAACGTTTTCGCAACCCACTGTTGTTTGTTGATGGCGTGCTTTTGTCAGCGCGCATTTGTGGGCACGATTTTGACATCACGGTTTTGTCGCCGCGGTTTTGTTGCCGCGGTTTTGTCACCGCGCATTTGTTGGGCATGCATTTGTTGGTGAACCATATATATATGGTAATATATATATATATATATTTTCACGCTCTATATAATATATATGCTTGTAAAACACAATAAATATATATATATATATATTAAATACAGCAATAAATGTACACTTGAATGTTTAAAGTTAAAAACAAAGAGCAAAATGTCATTCTAGAACCAGATCAATGAAAGAACTGCAATCAATCATAGAAATGCTATTTTAAGAAGATTTATAGGGCTAAGTACCTCTCTGTCTCCCTCTGTGATCTTCAGTGCTTTTTTAGAGAAGGACAGCAGAATGACACAAAAACAAAAACCGACTAAATCTGCCTAGGATAAAACAAAAAACAAAATGTTCCCCAGCAGATTTCCTTTCTTTTATTATTTAAATTACTGTGGGGGGAAAAACCCTGTAAATCGGAGAATAAATCATTCTGCAAGGATTGTTCAGATGGAGACCAACAGTACAGCAAAAGCAATGGAGAACTTGTAATAGTCTATATAGCAGCCATCTGGTGCCCTCCGGCTGTATTAGGTCCACAACTGCAAAATTGCAGAGCCAACATTAAGTGGGATAATGGGCACTGTAGTTTCAACGTACCCCAAGAACGTGGAGTTGCAGAAGTTTCGTTTATTATCAAGTAAATGGGAGTATCAAACATCATCCAATAACAATGACACTTCTCCAACGCTTCATCCATTTTGCTCTTTTAAAATTATTTTTTTTCTATCCAGTATTTGATACTGTATGTAAAACTTTGAACAGGGATGGAGGGATAGTGGTGATAATTTAAAAGAAAGTGATGCCATTACATTCTAATTTTTCTTAGTGCAAACATATTCCTACCCACCCACCTGCTATTTCAACTGCAGTTTTAGATCTAGGAGAGGAGGAAAGGTAAGGGAGGTTCTATTACTGACCCTTGTAGAGATCCTTTTTTGAAAGATGCGCTATCAATCCATATATAGACACAAGTGAAACACCTTAGCAGGCAAGAAAGATTGCTCATGATGCTGTTAAGATGTCCCAATAACAGATACTCCTTTAAATAATCCCCCAACATTAAACTAGTTAAGGCAAGCTCAAGTACATATGATTTCCATGACAGAACAGGATTCTTCCATTTCTGCTATTTGTCATCTGACTTTATACAAAATGGGCTCTATCCAGTTCCTAGAAATTAACGCAGTTCTCTCAGTTATACATGCAAAGTGCTAAACCAAGCCCTACTCGACCAAGTATAATCCATCTTTTCATAAATCTTTAATTCCTGACTTTGGGCAGTTTATTAACTTCTGGTGAAGATCAGTTGCCAGACAAATGCAAATTGTGATATAAAGCAAGAGTGGGCAATTTGTGGCTTGTGGCCGGATTCAGTTCCCACAGTATTGCCGGGAAAATTATTTTCATCAGTGCAACTAGTCCTTTTAATGCAATACCCCCCCCCCCACTAAAATAGATATTTAAGCCCTACCAACATTTCCCTTTTCCAATACATAATAATAATTAAAAAATCAGTCCCATCCTCACTGGCAATATTATGACTTTATAAACAATGCTCTGTTGGGCTTCAGCACCACCACCAGCCTCAAAATCCCATGCATTTCCCAACCAAAGGGTAAAGTGTCATTTTAAGCCAGTGCAACTCTCGGGATTTTTAATAGTAAATGTTTGTTGGGATGGTGATATTTGCAAACAAACTGGAGCTTTCTTAAGAGGATTATTGATTAAATTTATCCAGGAGAGTTTGCAAATGCTACCCCAGAGCAGAGAATAAACAACGTATATATGGAAGAGAGCACTTTTTCTTTCTTTCACAACTTGTAGAATCAATCAAAACACAAGAATGACTCTTGTCCAGGATAAGACTTGACACTGCTATTTCTAAAAGCGAAATACCGTAAAGAGATGTAACCAAGATCACACCTATTATGGTTATCATAATTTCACAATCTTTCTTCAGGACATCAACTTATTCTCTACTACTTAGAAAAGAGAGAGAGAGAGAGAGAGGAGTGCCAACAAGTGAGGGGGGGGAAGGTTACCAGATCAAATTCTTACCATTTGGGGCTGTTCGTTGGCTCAGTTCACCCATCAAAGACAATTCCTGAGTTTTGGTCTTGGCCTGGGCCAGTGATGGTTAACCTTTTTGGCACCCAGTGCCAAAGATTGAGCGCGCATGCGGATGCCGGAGAACCGGAACCTGGAGGAACAGCTGGCAATGATGCATGTGCCCACAGAAAGGACTCTGCATGCCACTCTGGCAGGTGCGCCACAGGTTCGCCATCACAGGTCTAGGCCCTGTAGGTAGTTAGGGATCAAATGGCTTTTTTAGTCTAGTGAGCTCTGGCAACTTTTGCTACAAGGAAATATTCATCAATTCCTGCAGGATAATTTCCGTTCTAGGGATAAAGTAATATGAAACCTACAGTCCCAAATAATGCCTCCAATTTTTATTTGAATTTTTCAAAGTGGAAGAAAAGAAACATTCAACAGTTCATTGTGTTGGGAGTTTTCATGGTGAAGATCCCAGAGAATGATCTGTATGGAAGCAACAGGGCAAAAGGCTCTCCTGTTGTCATTATGATAATGGATTAGACACTCCAACAATATTGCAATGGAACTGCCAGGCACACCATTTATGATGACGGATGTGCTTCCACAACAAGAACAAACTGTCCAACTCAAACGTATAAAAATGATCAGTCGCCACATCTCACCTCACCTTTAGTTACCAGTAAATCATTTCTTTCTCTAAGCTGGGGCTTTCCTTCCTGGGGAGGCATTGTGCAGTTTTTGCCTAAAACACATGAGATTTGGCTCAAAGCTATGTCTTGCGGATTATCTCCCTCAGTTCCCCTGGTTTGAGACTTAAAGATATAATTCCAAATTAGGAAACAGGAACCTTGTAATTGCTTGAGAACTAACACATTACAGTATATGATTTTTGCAACTAAATCAGGGGTGGGTTTCAACCGGTTCGCGGCGGTCCCTGCGAACCGGTTGGTCGGCGAACCCGGAAGTAAGTAACTTCCGGGAACGGCAAAGGGCCCGCCCGCGCTCCTTACCCGGTTTTGACGAGTTCTACACTTCTCCGCATGCGCAGGACGCATCCAGCGCCTGCGCGATCCTCCAGGAGCAGCTGGAGCGTCGCGCAGACGCTAGTATGCATGCATGCGCCGCACGCGCACACCGCGTGCGCCCGGTTGGAACGTGGCG